CGAACGCTCCTTATGGGAAAAAAGGTCGATCTCGATAATCTCGAGATATTTCATCACCCTTCTAGAGGGCAGTCATTGCTAAGACTGGAGGGGCGGGGGGTGTCCCGGTTCGTCGTCCCACCGGCCGTTGCCACAGGCCCAACTCGGCGTGTTTGTTGATGGAATTCCTCGCTGGAAAGCGTTTGGGTAAACATATGGCAGGAACATAGAGGAAGCAAACAGTAGGTGCGAATATTTCCTTGAGGATGGTCCAACGTGTAATGTTAAGTAACAGTACACATGTACTTGCGATCCATATTGAATGTCTTCCCTATTTTCAGTCACAGAACACGAGAACCATTGTTTAGCTGTGTTTGACGTTGTTTAGCTGTGTTTGGCATTGTTTAGCTGTGTTTGACGTTGTTTAGCTGTGTTTGACGTTGTTTAGCTGTGTTTGACGTTGTTTAGCTGTGTTTGACGTTGTTTAGCTGTGTTTGACGTTGTTTAGCTGTGTTTGACGTTGTTTTGTTTAGCTGTGTTTGACGTTGTTTAGCTGTGTTTGACGTTGTTTAGCTGTGTTTGACGTTGTTTAGCTGTGTTTGACGTTGTTTAGCTGTGTTTGACGTTGTTTAGCTGTGTTTGACGTTGTTTAGCTGTGTTTGACGTTGTTTAGCTGTGTTTGACGTTGTTTAGCTGTGTTTGACGTGGTCGTGTCAAGTGAAAGTATGATTTTGATTTTAAGATCACAGCCGTTCATCCTCTCAAACACGCCTTGAGATAAGGAATAGTCTACGTACTCTGCGTGTAGCATTCACACTAGGTACCCCCCCACCCCCACACAGAAGACAGAAGAAAAAGAGGTGATATGATCACTACGTACAAAATAGTAACAGGAATTGATAAAATTGATAGGGAAGATTTCCCGAGACCCGGAACTTCAAGAACAAGAGGTCATAGATTTAAACTAACTAAACAAAGATGCCGAAGAAATATAAGAATATCCACTTTCGCAAACAGAGTGGTAGACGGTTGGAACAAGTTAGGCGAGAAGGTGGTGGAGGCCAAGATCGTCAGTAGTTTCAAAGCGTTATATGACAAAGAGTGCTGGGAAGACGGGACACCACGAGCGTAGCTCTCATCCTGTAACTACACTTAGGTAATTACACACACCAGTACCCACTATGGCTGACGCCACACGTTAGGTAAGTCATGGAGGCAAAACTTCAGTAAGGGGAGGAAAAAAAACTTGCTTCCCTTGAGACTGAGATACAGTTGTCCATGGTCGAACATTCTCTCTCTCTGTCTCTCTCTCTCTCTCTCTCTCTCTCTCCAGAAATAAAACTCGTCTAAAGACAAATGTAATTGATTCATAATGAGAATTAATATTGTGTGAGTGAGTGAGAGGCCTGGGAGAAGGACGCAGCTTTATTATTTGAGCGGCTGAGTTATAGTGTTGGTGGTGATTATAATAACAATCGTTTTGTCGGGGACAGGAGGCGTGTGTGTATACACTTGTATCGAGGTCCCGCCAAGGTCGAACTACTGAGCCTCCCCAGGATGACTCCTTCCAACAATTGCCTCATTCCTGGGCACCTGTTTACTGCTGGGTGAACAGAGGTATTAGGGGGGAGAGGGAACGTTCCCCACAGTGACTGCCTCCATTAGTGTTCTTACAAAAGATTATCACCTATATTCCCTCTTGGTTCTACTGCTTGTAGACTTGCGGCCCGTGGCATTAGTCCTGTGTACAGTAGTATACCTGAACTGTGTTTTGAATGTTGTTGTTGTTATAGATTCAGCTACTCGGAACAAGTTCCAAGTAGCACGGGCTATGGTGAGCCCGTATGTGTCTTGAAAATTATGAAGGAGATGGTGGTGAGGTGAGTGTACTGGTCTATACCCAGCGTGTGTGTACCGGACCAGTACTGGTGCAGCACCGCCCTCAAACTTTCACATTTTGAAGCATAAAACGCAAATTGGTAAAGTAGTGAAGTTTGCAACAAGATTGGTGCCAGGGTTAAGAGTCGTTAGGGAGGGTGAGGATAGGTTGAGGGAGCTAGACCTGGCAACCCTGGAGGATAGAAGAGGAGATATGATCACAGCATCCAAGATACCGAGAGGAATAGACAAGATGGACAATGACAGCCTCTTTAAATTGAGAGGAAGAAGGACGAGAGGACACAAGGGGAAGCTGGAAACACAAATGAGTTAGTTATGTAAGGAAATACCTCGTACGGGCGGCTAACAAGTAGAATGCACCAAACTAGAAGTTATGGAAGCCACCTCCATCCACAACTTTAAGGCCAGATTCGACAAGGAATTCAAACGTCAAAATAATTAAACTACAAAACTTGCCCGAAACACTGTGCGTATTAGTGGCTTTAGGCTTAGTATGTACCAGCTCTATCTAGAAATCCAACATTGTAACTCATTTAGAATGTATGAACTTTTACCAGAATAAACATGATCTATCTTGTGTGTAAATCACGAAAATTAACACGTGATGAAAAATGTGACAGTGTCAGACCACGGAGGAAGAATTGAAACACGAATTTCCTTAAGTACTTAAGGAAATTCCCGTTTCAGTTATCTATCTTATCTACAACGCAAGTGGTATAACAAGGAGTAGTAGTCGGGGCATAAGGAGCTAGAGCTCACTCCATCGTAGTCACTTCTAGGTAAGTACATCCACCCCCACCCACCACCCCACCCCCTCACACCCCATCAAGAATCCTAGACTCCTAAACGGATCTTCTCCATTTGTCAGCTCCCTGTAAGAGACAGCGAGTTACGACTCGCCGTGTTATCTACAGCGGCGGGACTCCCACCAGCACGACAGTAAATGTATTCTTCCCTGAGACATCTAAACACGGATAAAGATTTTATTTTGCGCTAAACGACGTTTTATGAGAAGTTGTCGTGTTGTTCCCGCTCTTCCTGCCTGATGCACGATAATGATACGCCTCGGAGACCTTCCCCAGTAATCTCCCCCCCCCCAGGGAAGAGGATTTATACTGACGATGCTACCGGACCACGACGGGGAACGACCTGTAAACTGGTCGTTAGGATGGAAGGACGGGGGGGGGTAGTAACCTTATCTCACGAGGTGTTTGAGACGTTTGTTGTTGTTGTTGAGAGAACATCAACTGGGTGAACACTATTCCCTTCCCTCTCTCGACCCTCTCTATTCCCTCCTTCCTTTCCCCTCCTCTTCTTCCTACCCCCCATAATCATGTGGGCGGTAGTGTCATCATACCCGTCTAATGAGCAGTAGTGGACCCCCCATACCCGTCTAATGAGCAGTAGTGGACCACCATACCCGTCTAATGAGCATTAGTGAACACCCCATACCCGTCTAATGAGCAGTAGTGGACCCCCCATACCCGTCTAATGAGCAGTAGTGGACCCCCCATACCCGTCTAATGAGCATTAGTGAACACCCCATACCCGTCTAATGAGCATTAGTGAACACCCCATACCCGTCTAATGAGCAGTAGTGGACCCCCCATACCCGTCTAATGAGCATTAGTGAACACCCCATACCCGTCTAATGAGCAGTAGTGGACCCCCCATACCCGTCTAATGAGCAGTAGTGGACCACCATACCTGTCTTATGAGCAGTAGTGGACCACCATACCTGTCTTATGAGCAGTAGTGGACCACCATACCCGTCTAATGAGCAGTAGTGGACCACCATACCCGTCTAATGAGCAGTAGTGGACCACCATACCCGTCTAATGAGCAGTAGTGGACCCCCATACCCGTCTAATGAGCAGTAGTGGACCCCCATACCCGTCTAATGAGCAGTAGTGGACCACCATACCCGTGCCATAGACAGTAATGGGAAAGGTTACAGAGGCACATGAGTTCAGAAACTGACCCACAAAATTCATTAGCTGGTTACGAGCGGGTGTCAACGTGTGCCTCTAAGACGGTACACCCAAGTATGGATGTGCTGGTGTCGTCTCAAGAACCTGTTGTATTAATCCTCCTTCATTGAAATCCAGTTCTTGTGTTTTCAGTAGTTTTTGGGCCATCGGAGTTTGCGGGAAGTGTTGCGTGCGAGGCCAGGCAGCGAGCAACGTGCGCTCGCTGCTGATGAACCGCTGGCATTGCTGGCAACACATCCTTCAGGCCAAGCAATAAGTCAAATAAGGACTTAGTTTTGATTAGTAAGCTAGTGCAGTGTTTGACTTCTTCGGCAGACAACCAACAGACAGGATGGTTCTTCCATACATTATGACGAGTGTTTTTTCCCCTGAAATGTAAATTAATAGTATATTGTGGGTTTATGTACATAGATCTTGGTGAGGTGTTTTGGTTACGATGATTTAGGGAGTGTTTACACTACTGGCTGGAGGTGAAGGAAGCACGTCTCTAGCCACAGTCTCGACTCGAGACTTGGTCTTGTAGTCCACATGGCTGGCTGGGCTACAAGACGAAGTTACTCGTAGATCTTTGTTGCAGTTTGTATTTGACTTACAGGTTGTGAACCTCACGGTCCTTTCTTGTGAGGATGGGTGGTGTTGTTGCTGCTGTCGTAGCTTGGGTTTGGTTAGTGTTGAGGTGTATTGTGTGTTGCTCTGGCTTTGTGGAGTTTGTTGAACGCTATTTGTATTGTTATACTCGTGTGTGAGGGGGGGGAGGGGAGGAGGTGTATGATAACCACATCTGACGAGATTGATAACGAGCTGTAAGTTAATTATACTATTGTTCTTAAGATAACCAACAATAGACTTGAGTGAAAGTAATAAACAATTCGATATACACTGCGGGATTTATTGAACGTTAACTGCCCTCGGGACGTTTTAATTATTTTAAATGGATGCCATTTCTCTCTGCATGTGCGCGTAGAGCAGACAGTTGTGTGCAGTAAAGGTCACCTTGGTACAACGGAGGTCAACAGAGATCAACGGTGAAGCGTCTGACAACAGTTACCTTCCTTAGTAATAAGAACGCTTTACCTGGCCGTCAGTCGACGTCTCTACCTGTGTCATAATGCTCTTAATCCTCTCCACCAGGTGGTTATCTTGCTCCTGGTGGCGTCGGTGAGGGGGGAAGCTGACGCAGACCCGGAGCCCATACTACCACCGGGGTACCCACAGTACGCCACCACCTGGGCAGCACAGCAGTTTGGCACACCGCAGGAGATAGCTGCTGCTGGCGCCTTCATCTCGCAGCGGCAAGTGGATCCCCTCCAGTCTACGAACTTCGGTTTCCTGCCAGCCCAGGCGGCTCCCTCTCCACTCTTCGCTGTCCGCAATGTTCAGGCTCGGCCGTCGTCCCTCGTCTCCAAGGGTAAGCCAGAGGAGAAGCACGACGTGCAGGTGCTGCGGCATCCAGCTTTCTGGTTCGTCCCGCCTACACCGATCTTTCTTCACAGCATCCACGTTCGCGTCCCAGACTCCAGCCTGCAGCAGCACGTACCTGTGGCCGCGCCCTCGGCCCTCAGCTTCGCCAGCCAGCATGACGCGCAGACCCCCGTCATCAGGCAAGGCGCAGGTTCCACTTACTTGAATTTCTATCCTTACCCTGTGGCCACCCCGGGCTATGCCTTCACGCGGCAGGCAGTCGACGTGCCTTCCGTTGCCGTGGCGTCGAACGACGACGCCGACGAGAGCGCAGAAGACGACTCGCGCCGCAACTACGTCATCTTGCGGCACTTCCCGACGGAGCTGGCGAGCTTGGGGTTGAGCCTCCGTGGCATAGATAATGAGGCTGTCATCCCCGCCGGCATCGTCCAGTCGACGCAGCCTTCCTTCACCCGCGTCGTGTTCCGCAACGACAAGGCGCACCCGAGCCTCCACGACAAGGAGCCGGCGACGGATGGCGCCGTTCTTGCTGTGTAACCTGTGTGTGTGTGTGTGTGTGTGTGTGTGTGTGTGTGTGTGTGTGTGGCCAGGACACCCAGAGGCTCCCCTATGAGGAGGGGAACTCTGAGGTCTCCACATGTAAATTTCCAGATTTTTTAACCAGATTACAAATCAGTATAGTCAGCCCTGTATATCTGAGCGTCGAGAGGTGAGTGTTTGATATTATAAATCTCTTGTCAAGTTACCAATGTGGAAAAAAAAACTCCAAAGAATGTGTGAAGAAGTCTCAAGATGTTTCCAAGTAGGTTAGTAACCAGCAGCAGATGGTACCAAATAGGTACCAGCTTCTCCCGCAGATAGTACCTATAGACCCCTAGAAGATACCTGCTCGCCCAGAAGATGGTACCTATGGAGTACCAGCTCCACCAGCACAGGGGTACCTAGGTGGGGGAGGTACCAGCTGCACCAGCAGGCGTGTCCCAGGAGCTACAGCCCGCGAGCACCTGCTGACGGACGCGGTGTTCCTAAACATTGTATATCATATGTTTTTATTTTTCTTAAATTTTCAACCATTATGTAAAGTAAAATCTAAGTCAATGTTTCCTAAAAACCAGTTTCCATAAAGAAAAATTTATTAGCTGTCTGAATAAAATAAAATTTATGATGACTTACATTTTATTAAAAATATGGAGTATTTTATATTATTAGATAATTGTAATTTTAGTAAAAAAAAAAAGTTGAAATCTTTGTTGATTGAAACAAAAATATTTATGGTGCAAAATTTCGCCTGGACGCATCAGAGGGTGAGAGACTAATCCTTAACATCATGATTTAACAAGCGTGAAATTTGTAGTAGTTTCCCCTAACCAGAAGCGTACGAAACTGGGTAACCCACCTTAAAAACGAGAAAGGTCGGGGAATTAATGATGACAAGGAAATGGGTGGTATTTTAAATAAGTACTTTGTCTATTTCCTAGAGTAAAAGCTTCTATCATCTGTGGGACAAATCTATATCGGTGATAAGAGGACAAATTGGACAGGATTAGAAAAAAAAAACCTGCTAGGGCATTAAACAGTACGTAAAGTACTACACAGAGCACAGTGTTTCGAAAAGTGCTTCGCTGACGACATCTCTTCGAACCACATCTCTGTAAATGCTTCACCCACGTACTGCAAATCTAAATAATTGCAAACAACCTAAACATCTAACTTAACCTACGACTAACTATAAATAAAAATCTAATATAACAAATTTATGAAAAAACTATTTTGACTACGTCTTTGGGATCGATTGATAAAGATTAAGCAACACACAAAAGGTGGCACGGGCATGAACAGCCCGTAATTTTTGGGCTCGACCACCGTTTGGACGAGCCTAGTTTGATCAAAAGTTGAAATGCTTGTTAACCCAGATGCCAAACTCGGCTTTGTAAGTGAAAACCACTTTACACACGCAGCCCGTCCTCTAAACAAGCAGCCTCAAAGTTCATCCTATGCACCAGCCAAACCCTATGTTTATGAATGAAAAAGATTTACACAAAACTCACAACTGATGACGTCCGAACACTTCCGGAACAAGTGCTTCATTGACCAATTTTGTTCGAATCACAACGCTGTAAATGCTTCACCCACGTACTACAAATAATCGCCAACAGAACCTAAACACCTAACCTAACCAATGCCTAAATATGCACAATATGCTAATATATAAAAATAATAATTTATATTTGAGAAAAGTTCTGATTTGAATGAACAGAATGTTAAAATTTATGAATGCGTCTTTGGGGTCGACCGCTGGATGGAGTGGACTTTGTCTGAGAACGGGTTGAAATCCTTCACCCACGTACTTCAAATACAAATAATTGCAAACAGAACCTAAACACCTAACCAAACCTATGCCTAACTATACATAGAACCGTAATATACAACAATACATAAATGGGCACAGACCTATTTTTAAACAGTATGTTAAAATTGATGAATGTGTCCTCTGTTTTAACGAGCCTGGCCTGAGGACGGGTTGAAATATAAATAGTTGTAAAAATATAAAAGTCTAATACTCATTAATTAATATAATAAAATACAGATTTTTAATACACTTGTTAAAATTTATGAATGCGTTTTTGGAGTCGGCTTGAGCATGAACGAGTATAGTCTGAGGACAGGTTGATATTAAATCCTCCAGCAGGCTCCTTGCCTGCTTAAGGTAACAATAGTGTTAAGTAGTTTATTGGCTATTGTTTCAGTGGCAATTTAAATGTCGGGAAGTAGCTCGACGTCGCTCTAAAGCTTAATGTTAAAGGAAGAATAAATCTGACCTCGTTGAGGCGGGTTATGATATTATCCAATGGATTAACATTAAGAAAATTTTACATATTGATTTTGTGTCTATCTTGTGTGTGATTTAGTGGAGCTTTGGTGGCGCGAGGGGTTATTGTTCACCTTGACTAGGACGAGTGTCGGGGCCAGCTGCTGTGTGAGAGCTAAGATGGTGTCCGTGTATCGTAGCCAAGCCAGCAGGAAACTACTACTGGCCTCGTGCCTCAGCCAACCAACCATAATGTTTCAATTCTAGCTTAAAAGTAATCTAACAAGCTCTTTACTAGTTGTTGCGCCAACCTTCAGGCTCTGGACGAGAGCCTTGAATCAACTGGGGAAGAATCTGTTCTGCTCCAGTTCACTCCCACTGCAGGATACTGGGCTAGCACCCCCTACCCCGCCCCCGAAGGTCGCCAGCCCCGACAGTCTTCCTGTAGATACAAAACAGGGTCTAGGGAAGACCTTGAGGCCACCAGGATGTGGAGGAATGCCCTGGGTAGCCGCCTTCGCCTCGCCCACCGCCTACTCTGCCTACTCTAGTGACCAAGTTTCTCGCTTTCGAATCTTGTTCATTTCTAGGCACGTAGGATATAGGATTTTTCGTATATCCCATTTATTGTCCCAAAGTTTGCAAGTAGATCCACACCTCAGAGTTCCACAGTTCATAGTATTGTTGAACTGACAGCCATAATAAAAAAAAGAGTAGAGAGTTATATACCTCAAGTAGACGACGAATATAAAGGACATATATATTGTCTACTTACACCAAGGATACCAGAGATGGAGTATATATACAGAAGTACTGCGTACACCGTTCACCAAAAGCTCAAATAAAAAATAGTCGTCTATAGCAGTTTTATATAATTATCTTGGTGGCAACCTCTCTGTTGTTCTTAGCTGGGTTTTTATGGTCTCGTGTAGTGGCGGGAAAACCTGTTTCCAGCCCCATCAAAACAATATAATCAAGTTATAAACTATTTTACCTTCCGCATACCTGCTATTATTGAATAATAATTCGGTATTTACGATCTGTTTTATTATTTACGGACGGTCGGCTTGTTATGTGATAAGGAAAGCTACGTAAATAGTACTTGAAAGTACTAGAAAATAGTACTTGCAGGTTACGGCCCAACCGCTTTGACTAGACGGTAGAGGGACAATCTTGCTTCTTTGCAGGTCGGCGTGGTCGTCCAGTTAAGTGGTTGGGCACCATTCCTTCCCTCCGTCCTATCCTAAATCCTTATCCTCATATCCCTTCCAAGTGCTATATAGTCGTAATGGCTTGGTACTTTCTGCTGATACTTACCTTAACGTACAGATTACAGCCATATGTCTTGTAGTCCACGATCTAGTGTTTGTAGTCTACACGAAAGTGTTTTGTAGCCTAAGATCCTATGACAGTAAATTACACTTGAGCGCATCCAGTCGACTTCCAGCTGCTTGTATTATACTATGAACTGATTAAACCTAAGATCAGTTTCTTGCAATTTACAGTTAGGTGCTTGTATAGTCTACGGTTTAGTGCATGTGACGACGGAGCAATTGCTGCATCCTACAGTTTCGCGCCTGTAGCTTGAACCCGCGTCTGTGATGGTGTGTGCCTGTAGGCTGTGGGCAAGTGGTGGTGGATCGTATCAAAGGGTTAGAAAGAAGCTTCTCCGTTAACGGGCAGCGAGACGCTGGTGTTAGCGTGGGCGTTTTGGCATCTAGTTCAGTTTATGATGTTGGTGAGTGTGCGTCGACTTGGTGTTCCGTAGCTTCATAGTCTCTCCGGCTTGGTGCCTTCTTTTGATAATTACTCATTAAGTGTTCATTAGTGCTTGGTGCTCCAAAGAGCTATAGCGCCTTGGTACTCTGTCCGAAAACTCTCCTCGTTACTGCTCCGTTGCTGTACATGTGCAACAAATAAACTGCTGCACTCAGTCATTTGTTTAAATTTCCTTATCCTATGTATTTGAAAAATACGGGTAATGACAAAAGACAAAATACAAGACTACTTGTTCTTGGTTTTTCTCCACGGCGTCTATCCACATCTGAATGGGAGCTGGGCCACAACTTATCAACTATATACGGATCAACAGACGAAACCTGTGGATCTCTCTAATGCTTGTGGCAGCTTATGGGCTCCGAAGCACACTCGGATTATTTATAACAATAAAATAACTTTACGAGCTTCGCAACATTATAATCTAAAGTGTCTAATGTAAACAAAGCCGCCTTGATTGTTGAAGATGTACAGGTTTCGTAACTGGATGAGTATATGTGCGATTAGTCCTGGCCCAGGCTTCTCGGATATGACGAGAGTATATTCAATACCAGATCTTTGGGTTGAATTGCACAGATGTTTTATTAAATGAGACTCGGAGAGGAAACACAATTTTTAATAAAGAATTAGTGTGTGTGTGTTAGGACATTACTCCAGTCATGTGTTGAGCGTCAACTGCGTCATTCTCAGCTGGTACTAAACAAACCGATAAAATATTGCCGGAAAATTAGTAAAAGATTTGTAATTATTATACTGATCGCTTAATTAGTTATTCCTTAAATTTTAATTTAGGAACCAGTAGAAACGAGCAGCAACACCAGTAATATTAGGAGAGAGTTGATTGATTGTTGCCGCCGAAGGCGGCTAGTTTATTGTGCACCCAATACTCATCCTGTGAGCGGTAGCGCAAAAGCATTACAGAGGGCACAAAAGGTCTTTATGTAATAATCTAAGATGAGGTCTGATAAACAATTTCATCTATCCTTCACACCTTATAGATACAATGTCAGCTAGTTACAGAGAAAGTGCTATTATAAGAGCTATATATTTACAGTAAGTCATCATACATTAATGGTAGGTCTTATCGTTAATACATAATAGTTTGGCCAATGTTGGTGGCGTGCGTCAGGGTCCGGCCCCACTCCGGGCTCTGGTAAAAAACAAAATAGCCAAACTTGTGCACTTTTTACGTCATCGCTGCACTATAAACAACGTACCTGTTCTGTCCGAACCCTTCATAGACGCGCCTTAACTAGCCTTATATTAATCTAGCCCCTTCCTAACCTTTTTTGTCATCATAACCTATCCAAGCATAACTAAAATAAAATAAACACTGGTTCGGCGCTAGTGACGTCATTGGTTTAATTCTTCGGCAAAGGGGGGGGGATATTTTGGATACTAGGGATACCCATGCCCAACTATATATGTTCTTCGGTGTCCTCCTGTCCCGACGGGAGACATCTCCCGTCATGCAGGGTGCAGTCGCACCTCCACAGATCTCCAGTATCATCTATTGATATTGGTAATGGCTCAAAAGGGCCACCACTTACGGGCTATTCATGCCCGTGCCACCTTTTGGGTGG